CTTCTTAAAAACACATCAACATAAGAAAACAAAGAAAGGGGAAAAAAAAAAAAAAAAAGAAGCCGAATCCCACATGTAGGACATCTTCACAGTCATGTGCCATCCGAAAAATTTCTAACAAAAAATACCATTACAAAAAAAAAATTATAAATAGTACAAAAATATATAACTATACGAAGAAAGGGTAAAAGCACAGGCGAGCTGGTGAAGAACTTCCATCGTAAACCGGAGACACGGAAAAAAAAAAATAAAAAAAAAAAACGGACAAAACAACAACAAGTCTCTTGTTGTTTTGTCCGTTTTTTTTATTTTTCCGTGTCTCCGGTTTACGATGGATATAACTATACATCAGGGGTGGCCAAACCGCGGCTCGCGAGCCGCATGCGGCTCTTTGCTGGTCCAAGTGCGGCTCGCGGATCCCTCGTGAGGGGACCCCCCCCCCCCCTCCTTCGCCCCTTTCCGCGTCTTCCCAAGAAAAAAAAAAACAAAGAAAGGATTTCAGAATAAAGCATACTGCAGCTTGCAGTTTGACAGCCTTGTGCTCCCATACGTACAGTCAGACTCTGAAAAAAATTAAGTTCCCTCCCCCCCTCTTCCCCCCCCCCCCCCCCCCCCCCCCCCCCCCCCCACCCCCCGCGGCTCTTAGAAGTTTCGTGGTTTTGTTTGCGGCTCTTCAGCCAGGTCAGCCTGGCCACCCCTGCTATACATCGTTTCACCCAAGGGTTCTCCACGTTCTCCACCTCAGGTCAGGGAGAAGCCAAAACTACGGCGCGAGCCCCAATGCTCCGACCTATCTCGCTCGCGGCCTCGTGGTGTCTGGGCACCGGTTTTTGGCTGCATATAACCGCTTGTAGCTATTAGCATGCTATTAGCGGCGAGATGTTCTAGTGGCGCCCTCCTACGGTTCCCCCTTGTGACGTCATTACCTTGCAAACAAGTTCGATGGTGTTTGTAAATAGCATGGTGGAAGCTTGAAATCATTGCGCTCTCAAAAGAACATTGCCAACACCGTCAAAATTAAAGTTCTTCCTCTTATTTCCGTCGATGATAAATCCCTTTTTTGACGTCATAGTCAGCGTTCGGCCAATCGTGGAAGGCCGACCACAGCGACGCTTTCGGTCGCGCACGTCGCCAATAGGAAGTATTCACTGACGGCCATAGTTGTGTGCTCGACTGCTGAGCACGTGCTGATGGCGAGCTTCCACGGTTCTTTTGCAACGTGCATCCCACACCATCAGGATTGCCGGTCTTAGCAGCCTATGATGTGAGCTCGTTCTGAGCGTGCGCTCTAGACAGCACCCACAAATATTGGCGCCCAGTGAATACTCCTTAAGGGGTGTCCAAACAGGACACTACAAAACGCACGACTCCGACAAATCGTGAAAATTGAAGCGGGTGCGAAGCGGGCGCGTCCGCTTCAATGTTCACGATTTGTCGGAGTCGTGCGTTTTGTAGTGTCCAGTTTGGACACCCCTTTATGCGGAGGGCAAGTTCGTCTGCTTCTTGCGCTGGAGCAACGTTACTAAAACACTCAGTTGGGAAACTCACCGTCGAAACCTGGGCCGCTGGCGTCCACCGAGACCGAGCTAAATGCGTTAACAGCGCCACTCTTCATCGTTTGTCTGTACTGTGGTCCCCTTGAGCTTTTTGAAAGCCTGTTTTTGCGTAAAAAACAAACGGAAAAGACTCTTTTTTGTATGCAATTTATTGGAGTTTAGTACCAAATGATGGGCGCGTGATGTTTTTATCATCTTTAGTTCGCAAGGTTTTGCGGAACAATTAATACTGTTTTCATACAACCATGTCTCAGCGGGCCTTTCAGGTAGCACGTCCTGATTTAGGTGCATTTTAACGTCAGTTGTTGAATGCGGCGCGCCCGCCGGGGAGACAGGGGTGGCATCCCTGTAACCTCTACCGCTGTATCTGTTCTTAAGCCAAAATAGAAGTCACGTGCAGTTCTTCGAGAGGCCGCTGCGGGAGAAATGGTGGCGTTGTGTGCGTCATTAGCTCGGTGCTCGGAGAGAGATTGGGGCCATATTTTTAGGGCTGTCTCTATGGGAGTTTCCCAACTGAGTGTTTTAGTAACGTTGGCTGGGAGTAGTGGTGACGTCAGAACGCCGAGCCCTGATTGGCTGATCGCGACCCCCCTTTCTGAGCGTCGTCTGCTCCTTTGCAACGTCGTCTGCGTCGGCCTTACCTTTCCTGTGACTTTCGAAAGTGCAGAGTCCAGAGGCCAGGTTCACAAAACGATCTTGAGCCAAAAATATGCGTAAGACAAAACTTGAGAATAAATTCGTATTCACAAAATGAAATTTTCGTAAGTTTTGCCCAGGTTACGACGAAATCCTACGTAAGCTCCGAAGCTGTCATACGCACTTCTTACGATCAAATCAGCATGGCCGACAGCGTCGCGGTCGCGACGACCAACGGTCGTTTATTTTTCTACGTACGCTTCTCACGCGTCCCGACTTCAAGCAGTTAGAAAAAAGTAAAAAGTACTTGAAACAGACCACGACGAACAAGAACGCTGGATCCACAAACACCCGGGAAAAGCTCCAACGGCCACGATTCCACCGACAACGACCAAGCGAGCACGGCAGATAGGCCTAGCAGGCACTCCGACTCGGCGACCCACGACCGGCTGGCGTGCTGAATGGAATATGCCCGCGCGACCCTTGTGAACCCTTCCCGTCTTGTACTTTGATAGCTGACCTCAATTTTAGATCAAGAGGTCAATCGCTTCCTCTTGTCATCTCCTTGTTTTCCGAGGTAACGGTGACTCTCGCCGGTAAAAAGCGGTAAATCTCCTACAGACGCAGGAAAGGTAAAGCAGCCATCGCTTTGACTAGCAGATACTAGGCAGACGACGTTAACTGCGCCAACCCGCCGACGCCGTTAAAGAGTGAGGAGTCTCGCCGCACACGAAAGAAGGGAAAAAGTATTTGGGAGGGAACTTGCGGACACTAAAGGCCGGTTCTCACATGCAGCGAAGCGCTGATGTAGCGCTGCTCACGTGCCGTCAGCTACTTATCGTCTGCCATGAGCAACAGTTTTGATGGTGCCATCCAAAGCTGGTGAACGCTCCTGTCGGCACGTGCTCTTAGCGCGAGGTCAGCGCTATGCTTGTAGCGCTCCGCTGCATGTGTGAACAGGCCTTGACACGCTCACTCTCGGTTCTTAGCAAACAAACCTCGGCGCCTCGGGACACCTCGCCAGTGAGTCCTTTAACTTCCCTCCTTGATGCGCGTCTGCTAGTTGTTAGACAAAAACAACGTACCGCTCGAGTTATTTCGACTGCCCTCTCTGAAAGGCGAAGTCGAACTCGCTCGATTTCCAAAAGTTGCATGAAAGGTAAGACAGACGCAGACGACGTTGCGAGCAGACGACGTTGCAAAGGAGCAGACGACGCTTATATAGGGGGTCGCGATCAGCCAATCAGGGCTCGGCGTTCTGACGTCACCGCTACTTCCATTCTCATGCGCAGAAGACGAAAATGAGCCCACTTGCGAGTGAACTTATGCACAGATCGGGACCGTGTTGCCGAATGTAAAATGCTTCATGAATTTCCCTAGCCATTTTACATTCGGCAACACGGTCCCGATCCATGCGTAAGTGAAGAGTTCAAATTTGTTCGGAGTTTGGGCACGTTTGTTTAATACTTTGTTTCGGCTTCCGTGGGAGCGATAATGGGTACAAGCGCACACGAGGAGCCTAAAAACGGTGCCCACACACGAGGCCGCCTGCGAGACAGGTACGCACCGTACGCACAGAGCATTAGGGCTCGCGCCGTAGTTTCGGCTTCGCTCAGACCTGAGGTGGAACGGTGGATAGTTATATATTTCTCTACTATTTAATTTCCTTTGGATTTTTTTTTTTTTTTTTTTGTAATGGTATTTACTGTTAGAAAGTTTTCGGATGGCACGTGACTGTGAAGATGTCCTACATGTGGGATTCTTCTTTCTTTTCTTTGTCTTCTTATGTTGATGTGTTGACGAAAAAGAGAGTAAGTCGTGAGTCAGCGCTATGTCTGTGTCCCTTTTTCTACTTGTCCTTGCGTTTGTTTGCGCTGTTTTAATTATGTGTTTACTATGTCCGTCATCAGTTGGGTCAGCTTAGAAGTCCAATCTCTGTCGTCATTCGTGACCTCATTTCGCCCACACTTTTCAGTCACTCTTTTATGGTGCTTATAGTGCCTGCAGGGCTGCAAGTGGGCATAACAGTTATCGCTATCACCAGCGCAGGATGTCTTCGTTCTTCATCTTACAAAAACAGAAAAGGAAGCAGTGTTTATACTTAGATCAGTATAAGTTTCATAAGAAACGTTCGAATGCGAACAGAACTGTCGCGTGGCGGTGTGCCAACCATGGTTCATCCTGCTTCCCCGCATCAATCCTGACAGAAGCTCGTGACGGAGCGCGTCGTGTTTGCGGTAACAGTGTCGCGCAATGTGCGTAGTCCGTTTAGCGGTTGTCTGAAATGTATTTTTTAAGAATACGCTGATATGTAAAAAAATATTTCAGAACATACTCTTCAGCAGAAAATGTGCGCAGGCCAGGGTTAGAACGATGTAGATCTTTCGCGAAGAGGTTGAGACCTTCAGAGCCTTGTACCAATGGGTTGACGCGGGACGGGTTCAAATGAAAATGGCGTTTCGGCAATAGATCGAAACGGGACGGGTTCAGCGGGAAGGTCGTCTCGGGAATGGGTTGAAACGGGACGGGTTCAA